TACTACTACTACTACTACTACTACTACTACTACTACTACTACTACTACTACTACGACTACGACTACGACTACGACTACGACTACGACTACGACTACGACTACTACTACTACTACTACTACTACTACTACTGCTACTACTACTACTACTACTACTACTACTAGCAGAATCCGCGCCACGGAGTCCCACTTCATCCACGCGCCCAGCGAGGATGAATGACCATTCGGCCCCCTCAGTCTGACCAAGGTTTTGGCTACATTTTGGCCTCGTGGGGGGGACTCTAACGTGCTACGGCCCCTCTTTTGAACGACCCTCTTTTGAACGATCTCCTCAAAGATGGCCCCAAGATGGCCCCCGAGGCCCCTAAGGGTGCCCCAAGAGGCCCCCAGAGGTACTCAGGAGTCTACAAGAGGCTCCGAAGAGGCCCCCAAGCTGCCCCCAGGAGGCTCCCAGAAGACACCAGGGGCGGCGAACCCGCCCAGATGGCAGTGGACCACCTGGATTAAGGAACCAAGCGCTCCATGTCGCCCACTGCCCCAATGCACCGAAGTCAGGACGCCCACCTACCTGAGACAGCAACAGCACACGCCATAGCGCAGCAACCCCTGATGACTCCGAAGTCGTCCTGTGCAGGGGCGGCCCGTGGCGCCGGGCCACCGGGGGCAATGGCTGCCCTGTGGGGGGGGGGGGAGCCGGGAGCGCCGCGCTGCCTGGGCAGGTGGGACCACGCCAAGGGGTGCGAAAGGCAGGAGACGGCACATCCCAGGCAGAGGGAGGGACCGCCCTGGACACTGGCCTGAGATGGAGCGAAAAGAACCATAGAGCTCAGAAACCTAAAAGGGGACATGTCGACCCCTAACCCAGGCTTCGTGGGCTTCACGAATGGACCAGAAATTTGGGGCCCAACCCTGGGGTATACGGTGGGGGCGCGTCCATCCTCGATAGGGGTGCGTCTGAAGAGCTCCCTTGGGGTGTATCCCAGGGTTTCCCTCCTTTTCCGAACGCTTCTACTTCTCGTTGGAAAGTCGGGGGCTGGGTGGGAAACATCGCCTACAAAAACGGAAATCCCCCCAATCTTCCCCGCGGTTTCGCCCTCCATCGCCACGCACACGAGCGCGCTCCACGCACACGGTCAGGAGGGGAGCTCACTCTGAATCTCGAGATTCAATCCGAAAACTGTTCGATAGAGCGGGAACTGCTGCTCCTCCCCCCTCTCGCTTCTCGTTTCCTCCTGTTGCTCCGCCTCCCGTCGCCCTGCCGTCGGCCTCCCTCTCCTCCGGGGAGACGCCCCCCCTTTTGGCTGTTTTGGCCCCCACGTCAACAGCCCCCGCCCCCCCCGGCGAGGCACGGCTGTCGGGAAGAGGCAGGGCAGGGGCGAGGACCACGGCAGAGATGCAGACCGGCCAGCAGCCTCGAAGCCTCGAGGGCGGAGGGGAAGGCGGAGGCGACGGAGGAGGTGGAGGCGAGGCCGGACGCGACGGGCAGGGGAGGGAGGAGGAGCATGAGGCGTAGGAGGAAGGAGGACGGCAAAGGACCCAGACGCCCGACAGCGTGTTTTTCCACGACGTGGAACCCGAGACGTCTGGGCCCCTTCCACGGGATCGGCTTCCCATCCCGACTCGCTTCTTGGCTACCCCGAGGCCCACTGAGGGCCCCGGAGGCCGAAGAGAGCAACAGCAAAAAGCATTCCGTCGTGACTTCCGCTTGTCGTGACCCGAAGGGGGTCTGGGGATGAGGGGGAGGAGGATGGAGGAACAGCAAAGTGGCATAAACAGAAACTCTCGGAGCTCCGCGCGGAATCCATGGATCGGCGCTGGACCCCCTCCCCAAGGGGCTCCAGCGCAGACCCAAGAGGTCCACGCGGAGCTCCGAAAGCAGACGCCTGCAGTCAGGAGAGTGGCCACCAGGACGTGGGCTAGCCCTCCCAAGCCAAGACTGCTCTTGACCCTCGTGCCAGCTGTGCGCCCCCTCACCGCTCCTCGAAGAGGACGGACGGACGGACGGACGGACCTCGGGGGCCGGGCGGTGGCCGGCGGAGGCCGATGGGCCGACGGGGGCGGCCTATGGCGCACACGAGGCCGCACACCCTGGCGACGGCGAGCTCGTCGCGGCCAGCCGTCATCGGCGGCGCGGCCTCGCTGCCGTCGTCGTCGTCGTCGTCGCCGTCGTCGTCGCCGCCGCCGCCGCCGCCGTCGCCGTCGTCGTCATCGCCGTCGCCGCCGCACCCGCCGGCGTCGTCGTCGTCATCTCGTCCTCGTCCTCGTCCGCATCCCATGAGACCCAGGCGCGGCATAATTTCACACCGAGCTTCGGCGCCTGGCCTCGGGCCCCAGAACCGTCACAAATCGGTCCGGCTCGAAACATGCTGCAGAAAGCTGGGGTCACGGGCTCCGGTCGTCACGCTTCCCGATGTTGCATGTTTCCGCAACGGTGGATCCCGGGGTCCGCCTCCTCCCTGATCTTTTCTCTTTTTCCTAGGTGCGCAGCACCGCGGCGGGCTCGGTGGCAACTCACGGGAGCCTCCCATACCATCTTTGTCGGCTTTTGCGAATCGACCCTAATCGGCACTGGTCTACGCCGATCGACGCCAAATCGACGCTAGTCGGCGCTAGCCGACGCTAAATCAGCGCTATCTCATCGACTCCCAGACGCTAATCGACGCTACAGTCAACCCGTATCATAAGGATGCGTGGTAAGGATGCAAGTGCCTTGGATGCCCATGTTAGCGCTTGTCGAACGAGGCTGGCCAGCGGAGGTCGCTGAGGATGGGCCGAAAGGGCAAGGATGCAAGGGTACCCTTGGGAAGGTTGCCCATCATTACTGTGCGGGTTGACTGCAGCCGATGCTAAAGACGAAATCCCTTGGAGTCCCGAAACGGTGCAGTGACAGACCGTGCGGTGACCTCGAAATCCCCCAAGACCTCACCGCACGGTCCGTCACCGCACGGTCTTGGGACATCGGATGCCCCAGTCGCCCGAGACGTCCTCGGAGAACGACCCGAGTCCCAAAACCGCGCGGTGACCCCGCATCCCCACCCACTCACCACACGGTGTGGTCACCACCCCGTTTGGGGGCCCCCGAAATTCCGAGGGCATACCAGGCTCCCACGATTTGCTGCCGGGGGCGGGGTCGGCAGCTCGGCGCCGGCGCGCGCGCCCCAAGGGGGAAAACCAGCAAGGCAAGGGGCACGGCCTCGGCCTCGGTGGGGCAGACCCCAGAGCTGACGAGCAACGATGCGGGGGGGGACGGGCATATGGTTCTGCTGCTCCCATCGTACTTGAAGACCACATCCCAGAAATAGTTTCGAGCGCCCAGGAAAGTGTCGAACCAATGTCGGACGAGTATCACCTCCCAGGGCCCGACACGTGGAAACCACCAAGTTTCGGTACTTTCGCGGTGCTCGAAATTCTTTCTAGTGATCAAGGCCAGTAAGTTGGAACATCATAAGCATACGGGGGGGAAACATCGACCTGGAACAGGCGATACATCGCCGATAGGTCGGCGATATGGTTCCCCTGCTTGGGCGAATCGCGGGGGGGGGGGGGCGCCCGCCAGGTAGAAACACACGGCGGCGGCGCCAGTGATGAGCGGCAGCCCGAGAGAGGGCGGCAGGGGGGGGGCCAGCTCAGGGGGGGAACATCGAGCTGGAGTCGGCGATACAGCGCCGATAGATCGGCGATAGGCCCCCGATAAAGAATCCGCACGTTCCTTGGCGGGGTGGGGCTATCGGGCCCCTCATCGGCGATCAGTGGGCGATTGGGTGTCGATGCGTCCCCCCATATGCCGATCCTCACCTATCGTCGCCCGCCCGCGAAGAACCACGCAAGTCTACAGGGCGCCAGAAAATCTCAACGCGCATCCCTGCAGCCAGCATGGGCGGGCCATGGAGTAGGCAGAGACCGAACAGGGAAGAAGAGCGGGCACGGCGACTGACGGTCGCAGGGGCTACACTGGGCGCACGCGGAAGGCACGCGCGGCGCCGGAAATCACGCGCAGCGCAGCTAGCGATGGCCGGACGGCGACCGAGGAGCAAAAGGCAAGACGGCGCGAGCGAGCCCACGACGCCCCACCCTGTTGCCAGCGGCGAGGGCGAGCGCACAGCACGCTGGGGCGGCGCCGGGGCTGCGGGTACGCACACAGATCACGGGGAAGAGGGGGGCGGCCGCGAAGGGAGGAGGAGCCACACAAAAGACGGGGCGGGCCCCGCAGAGGGGGAGGAGCCCAGCCGGGCGAGGAAGGGCCCAAGCTCTCGACCCGGCGCGCGGCCAGTGCGAGCACGCCGCGGACTGGGGCGCCAGCCGCGCGCTGCGGAGGCCCACCGCGGAGGGGGCGGGGGGGAGGCAGGCCAGCGGCTCGACGGCAGCGGGGCCGTCGCCGGGCCGAGTGCCACGCGGAGGAGGCAGGGCGCACAAGGGAGGCACAGTCGGCCCGCAGCATAAACATGCGCGTCAAGGATGCACGGGCCTTGGACGCCGATGTCGAAGCTTTTCGAGCGGGGCGCGGCCAAAGAAAGTGGCCAAGGAAGGGCCGAGGAGGCAAAGAGGCAAGAATACTCTTGGGAAGGCTGCCCATACTTATTCTGCGGGTTGACTGTAGGGGGAGGGGGGGGTCTGAGAAGGAGGTTGCTTCTTAGAACGCGCGGGCCTTACGTCTATCAAGAAGGCCCGCACCTTTCTAAGCAGCAGGGGCGCCTCTGAGAAGCCTTCCCCCCTCCCCCCTCACCCCCCCTCTGCGCGTGGCCGCGCGGAGGCGGGGCCCGCAGCCCCTGCGCTCGCAGCGTGGAAGGCGCCGCCCACTCGCCCGTGCAACTCCAGCATGCCCCAGGCGCACCGCCCCTGAAGCTGGCCGAGGCTGGGCGCAGGGGGGAAAGAGCCGTTTGGTCCCCTCCTCCCACGTGACCTGAGGGGCAACGTCACCTTGTGATTAGAAAAAAAGAACGGGGTGTGCGTGATTCAAAAAATGGTTCCCCTGCTCGGGCGAATCGCGGGGGGGGGTCGCCCGCCAAATGAACACACACGGCGGCGGCGCCATTGACTAACTAGCGCCGACGCCCGGGCACCAGCGAGAGGGCGACAGGGGGGACCAGCTCAGGGGGGGAACATCGAGCTGGGATCGGCGATACATCGCCGATAGATCGGCGATAGGCCCCTGATAGCGACTCCGCACATTCCTTGGAGGGGTGGGCTGTCGGGCCCCTGTCGGCGACCAATGTGCGACTGCGGGTCGATGCATCCCCCCCTGAGCCGATCCCGCCCCCCTTACATGTTGCCCCTCATGACCGTGCTCCCTGGACCTCGGCCAGCCGCAAAGGGGGCTGGCGCTGAGCATGGCAGCTGCCATGCGGCGCCCAGCGAGAAGGTGGCCGTGGCCAGAAGGTGGCGCGCCAGCGGCCGGGAAGCACAGCGACCGTTCGCCAACCCCGTGGCTGCCCGTGACGGCCGCGGCTAGTGGTCCGACACCACTATCGGCACGCCTGAGCGCCAGCTGCCACCCGGTGGAGGCACTGCCGGACGCTGGCAGCCCACGCGGCGCTGCCAGCGGAGAGGGCGGGCTCGGTGGCGAAAGTCTGAGTCGAGTCGACTCAAGTAGGGCGGCTTCCGATCAACCCGCAGGCAGCGGCTGTGCCACTGGAAATCCCAAAGGGTGCCCGCATGGTGCTCTGCTAGGTCAGTGTTGACGGTTCCCGTGTTGTAGTAGAGCCACGAACAATTCCGTGATCCCACCTGGGGCCGATCGATCCCATGCCGGACCCGCGCAGGTGGTCGCTCGCCGCACCTCCCGCTGACCACTCCCGCCACTGTCGGCGGGACCGTCGCGGTAGGTGGTGCGTGGCGTTTGGGCGCTCGGCGCCATGGTGCTGTCCGCGGCTCGCTGTGCAGTCCACTGGGCGAATGCTGCAACATGGACACTCGGGTTGGGAAACGGAGCGCGTCCCGATCTGGCGGAGCAGCAGGGCACCCCCCCTCCTGCTCCGCACATCGTTCGAGAGGCGGCGCTCTCCTGTCAGTCCCGTGTCCGTCCCGCCTCTTCTTCCCAGATCTGCCGCATCAACGCGAGTCACTTCCAGACCAACTCATCGCAGAGCAACACAATGAGTAGCAGCTCACAGAGTCCCGCCGGCTCGTTGGACGCAGGTGGTCCGACGAGGTTCCCATTCCTCTTCTCGAACCCCTCTGCACTTCGGGGAGGAGCACGCTCCCCCTCACCTCCCTGAGATTTCTTGGGGGGGGCGCGATGGGCTAGAGCGTCCATGATGGACCAAGAGGGCCAAGTGGGCGTCCGATGCTCAAAGATGGCCTCCAAGATGGAAGATGGTTCAAGACAGGTTTCGACATGCCTCCAAGGCCCCAAGAAGGCCACAAGACGGCTCCAAGTGCTCTCGGAGCCCCCTCAGGACCCCCCAAGGATGCCAAAATCCTTCAGCAGCCTACGGAAAAACACTTCCACGGGACCTCCGAGGCCTAAAGATGGCCCCAAGATGGCCAAAGCCCAAAAGGGTGGCCCAGAGGCCCCCAAGACAACCCAAAAAGCACCCAAGCGCGTCCCAAGAGCGCCCCAAGAGCACACCAATAGGCGATTTCAATGGGGGAGGGAAATCGGGGACCCCCCTCCTTTGATCGAGGCCCTACAAGATGGCCTTCGAAGGCCTTACAGGCCCATCCTAAAGGGACCCAAGAGAGCCCCAACAGGGCCCCAAGAGGGCCTCAAGAAGACCAACTCTCATCGGCAGCGTTTCTGTGGGGATACGATAAGCGTGAAGAACAACGGAACTCGATTCACTGCAACAACATACGGTGCTGCCCAAAGCAGCGCACCGCAACGCAGCGCCAAGCAGTGGCAACAGAAAGCGATACAAGGAATTAGTGGAGCCGCAGGGAACCCGAGAGGCCCAAGAAATTCGAGAGCCCATGGGGAACCAGAGCGACTGGGGCTGGACGACGCTACAGCCACCGAGCCTTTTGCGCAGCAGAGGTAGGACCCCCTTCGACACAGCCTGAGTAAGCCATTGCAAAGTTCACACCCCTGCGCAACTCAACCCACCGAGTCCCAGCGCGCGAACGAGGTACTGGAGAAGGGTCCGAATAAAAGAGGTCAAGTCATATCTCCTCACTCGCACAGGCCTCAGTGGACAAGTCGTCTGCATCAAGACAGCCTCAGTCTGACACAAAGCTAGAAAATACGACTCCCAGATCAGAGTACAGGCTACCCTCAGGTCTTCTAGTTGTTCTCCTCCTCCTCCTCCCCCATCCTCCTCCTCCTCCTCCTCCTCCTCCTCCTCCTCCTCCTCCTCCTCCTCCTCCTCCTCCTCCTCCTGCTCCTGCTCCTCCTCCTCCTCCTCCTCCTCCTCCTCCTCCTCCTCCTCCTTCTCCTCCGCGCGGCGTTCCCGAAAATCCCAAAATTAGAAACGCCCCTCCCCCCCTCTCAAAACGGAGGACCTCTCCTGGGGTGCGCCCTGACCAAGACGAGCTCGAAGTGAAACCATGGGACACCGAGAGAAACCCACAGCACCGAAATTCCTCCCTCCTCCTCCTCCTCCTCCTCCTCCTCCTCCTCCTCCTCGCCATCCCTCCTCCGCTGGCCCTCCGAAGTCCGTGGTGCTCTGGGGGCCAGGGGCCCACAAATGACAAAAGAAGCACCCCAAGTACGGCGAGCAGAGAGGTGCACGAGCTGCCCCCCCCCGACGGGGTGGCCTCCCAGTACCCCTCGTGCACCACCAGGCGCTCGACGGTGTTCAGGTCCTCCCCGTCGGCGCTGCAGCCGCCTCCCGCGCCGCGCTGTCGTCGGCGTCGTCGTTGGCGGCGTCCTCGTCGGCGGCGGCGTGGGGGTCAAAGGTCGGCCCCTGCACCCCTCCGGGGGCGCGTCCTGGCCAGGAGTTCGAGGCGAATCCAGCCGCGGCCGCGTGGGCCCGCCTGTGCAGACGCCACCCCAAAATCCAGACAACATCAAGATGCAGAGCACACCAAAGTTCCTGATGTTCATACAGAATCCCTGACGTTGAGGATACGATCGGTGCTGTCAGTGAAGTGTACTTGCAGCGGTGTGCATGAAAGCTCTGTAGATTGTCCGCAGCTCGACAACACATCATATGCTCGATCGCATCCCATTTTCTAAACGAGCGGCTTCCGAATCATACTGGCCATGATAGCGTAGTTCTGCCCCTCCCCGCCCAAAGAAGAAGAAAAACAGACTAATTCCATTCACCCACCCGAGGCTTCCTGGCCTCAGCGCCGGCCGGGGCGGGGGGGCATTGATCTGGCGGGCGGCGGGCAACGCCAGATGCACCCACTCTTCTTCTTGCTTATCGGCAAACGGCAGCTTCACACCATCAAGCGCCGTCGTGGCTTCATCTCAAGTCACCCTGCCCCTCCCTCTCCTACTCCCGAAACGCGGATGGGCAGAGGAGGGCGGCAGAGAGCGCAGCGGCCAGGGTCCCCTGGGGTGCTTTTGATCAGTTTCGTACAACATGCCTTCTGGGTTCCACTCGATGATCCTGCGGGGTAGCCTGCCTGACTTCTGATAATCCTCTAATGGTCCAGACTGCACTCGCACATTCACCAAGCACATCGTACATCGCTTGCCCAGACCACTTAATATCCTCTTTGCTGCCCAGCAGCGCAGACTCTTTGCCGCGCACAAATAGACACGATCTCCTCGAACTGTATTCGACCGGGCATGGCCAAACCAACCAGCTCCTCAACCCTCGTCAATGAATACGGTTTACGCGACAGTCCCGGCAGGCGCTCGCTATGTCTTCACACTGGCATAGAAGTGGGCAGCGTCGGTGTAAGACCTTGCTCTTGCCATAACTTATGGTATCAAGCGTCTTCGGTAACAGCCATTCGGAGTTACAGTTATTCCGCCTTCCGTAGAAGGGTGGCTGCAAACATGTTCTGGCTTCCTAGAGCTGCGCAACTTATTGCGCCGGCTGTCTTGAACTGCACTCTCGGTTGACCTCATCTCCCTCGCTAATGCCACCTTCGCTGAAAGGGCATTCCTTGTCACGACCAAGTACTACTTGCATATCTGCTGGTCCGCAATCGGTCATTCGAGTCGAGATCCCCTAATCCACATAGCTTACATCTGGGCTCTGCCCCTGATAGCATCTTCAATGGGAATGTACCACAAGTGCACAATTAACTTGCGGACGATGGGCTCCTCGAGTTCGGACTCGCCTCGTCTCCTTCATGTGCTTCATCATGCAACAGGTTCTCGCTCCGCTCAAGAAAGTTTCACTCTTCCCCCTGAGAATGTTCATAGAAACCTGATTTAGTATGGACTTTCTGGTGGATCTCTGAATGCAACTTGAGATGGTCTAGGGCCCCATGTTGTCCATGATCTGATGTATGGTCCCGTCCGCTTCTCGCGTGCCTGATCTGATAGCCTCAACCTCTGCGCCATGCGCTCTGCTTCGCTGGGCTGTGCCATCGTGCCTCAACTCTCTCTCGATAATACTCGGGGGCACCGCAGAGGTCTCCGCGCTCACCTGCATCAGCATGAACGTGTCAGGGTCAGTCGTCTGCCTGTATTGCTCCCAGGTTCTCTGCGAGGTGGAAGCAGCGGATCCATCGTGGTAAGACAGCAAGCGCCTGCTTTACCGAGCCGCAACCAGCGTTCTGCAACACTGCCCTGACCCATAGCCACATGTGACCAGGTATGAGGAGAAACGCTTTTCTCGGTCAACGGCAACAACACCTTCAAGAACCACTCGCGCCATCTAAACCTCGCTCCGCTACCATGCAATATCACCCGGAAAATGTGACAACATCTGCGAGCACATCAACCATCACATGCTCAACAATGTAGAAAAACGGCTGCGGACGGAGCCATAACGAAGAGGAGTAAACGCGCAAGATGGCATCACCTGGGTTATTGGGGCTTCCGATGCGGCAGGTGCAGGGATGGAGATCCCCAGCCACTGCGGGCCAGCCATGCTAACACATTCTCCTCCGCATCCCCATCATCCTTCTCCTCCTCCACCTCCTCCTCCTCCTCTTCGGCGTCCTCCTCCTCCTCCTCAACCAAGTCTGGAGGCCGGGTCGGAGTAGATGGGGTTGGAGGATCGCACCGCATCGTCGATGCATCCCCGATGCATTGGCGATACATCGGCGACGTCGGCGATGCATCGCCGATCGCCGATGCATCGGCGATGCGACGCGATCCTCCGACCCCATCTGCTCTGACCGACTCAGGGAGGCCTAGAATATCATCCTCCCTCATCCCTACCATCGGGCGCACGCTAACATGGATTTGGGATCCGTGGATCTGGCGCGTGCCCGCCAGATCCACAGATCGGCGAAGGTACCCGCCGTAACATGAGGCCAGTGCTGCCTGATTCGGCGACGCAAGGCGCCGATTTCGCGTGGAAACGGGGCCCGTCGCTAATCCACTCGCCCTAATCCATGTTTGCGCTTCCGTAATACCATCCTTGCTCCCCCTCATCCCTCAGCCCTCCCCCCCCAGGAGAGCCTCAAATCGAAATGATAAGTCGGATCGGCGATCGAATTGAATCGGATCGGCGGAAATCGGCAGCCGAGTCGGAAAAAGTCGAATCGGCGAAAATCGGCAAGCTGGCAGGCCTCCGTTCAGAAATCGGAGCCCAGATCGGAATCCGAAGTCGAATCGAATCGGAATCGGGGGAGACACTCGAAACCGAATCGAAGCGACGCGGAGGAATCGCAATGAGCCCTGCCCCCCCCCCCCTGTCGCTGCCCCCCTGCCGCCCCGCCAACGACGTAGACGTGCTCCCCGACCGCGACCGCGGCGCACCCGCTCCTGCCAGGCACGCACGGCGGCGCTGGAGAGGGGGAGGGCGGGGGCAGCTGGGCAGAGGGGGGGGAGGGCGCTTCTTGGTCCACGGAAAGCTGCTGGACAGCTTTAGAAAGTCCAGGGTCAGCTAGGGGCTGGTTTCCTTTCGAAACAGGCGGCACCTTCCCGAAACCATCCGAAAACCCTCCGGGAAGGGTTCCGGGAGGGTTGTCAGAGGGTTTCGGGAGGGTTTTGGAAGGGTTTTCGGGCTTTGGAAGCGTTTTCGCTGTTTTGGGAGGAGACCAGTCCCTGGCGAACCCTGGGCTGTCTAAGGATAGCTTAGAGGAAGCAAAAATACACACACACACACACACTCGCTGCCCGGAACGAGCTCCTCGGCTGGGCGAGTCGTTCACCCCTCCACCCTCCCCTCTCTGACCGCTCCCTCGGCTCCCGCCCCTTCCCTCGTCCCCGTCCTCGACTGCGCCCAGCATGTGAGCCGTGGCTTTGACTCTGTCGTTGCGCGTCGACTGTTCATCGAACGACCTGACGCGCCTCGGGTCACCGACGTTATCGACGACCGCAGGGCCACAGAGAGGCGATGCCAACTCTTTCGTGCGCCAAACGCACCAAGCGCCCAGGCAATATGAGTAAGCTATCCACCCTTAGGCCGCCTGAACTCAGCAACTCGATACTCCCGAAGTGTGGACGAGCTGAGGAGGAGGAGGAGGTAGGCAAGGGAGCATGAGAAGGGCGAATGACAAGGAACATTACGGAAGTGGAGGAGAAACGATGGAAGAAGATGAGGAAGAGAAGGGGTAAGATGAGGAAGAGAAAGGTGAGGAAGAGGAGGAGAACGAGAAGAAGGGTGGGGAATGAGGACGATGGATGAGGAGAAGGACGGAGACAGAAGAGGAAGAGGGAGGAGGAGGAGGAGGAGGAGGAGGAGCAGCAGGAGCAGGAGGAGGAGGAGGAGGAGGAGGAGCATCGAGCACAACGTATCGAGGTGTTCCACGAAGTGACTGAAACGAGCTCACATGCGGCTGCACTGCTCATCATTTTGCCGAGAAGCCTAATCAGGTCACAAACCGACCTCCAACATGTTGAGACTACTATCTCGGATGTATGGTGCTGCGCAGGACGAGGCCATGGCTTAAGGAGGAGGAGCAGGAGCAGAAGCAGGAGCAGGAGCAGGAAGATGGAGCACAAAACGACAGGGTCGAAAGAGTCAGTCCGCCAAAATGATGGGCCCTCCTCCCGCCACAAACCCAAGCCCCCGGGCCTCCCCTAAGCGCTGTGGCCAGAGTCTCGACGGGAATCCCGCCGCCGCGTCGACGAGGGACCCCCGCAGAGGCCCAGAGAAGGGCGAGAAAGACCCCCAGGCCTCGAGTCTCAACCTCGAAGACAGAAACTTCTCTTCGTCGGCGGCGAGGCGGACGCGATCCGCACCAACGTGGGCCTGAACAGGGGCACAGAAATAGCAAAATAGCAGATTGACCGGCATGCAGGGAGAGGGGAAGGGGAAGCGCCGGGCGGGGGAAAAGAGAAGGAGGCGCTCGGATGTGGAAGCGTTCCAGGTCGAGCGGGCGGGTGCGCCCGAAGACAGAAACGGGAAGCTTCGGAGGTGCACGCGGAATTCCTGGACTGGCACTGGACGGGCCCCCCTCCCCTGGCGCGCGAGGAGCGCCGTGCGCGGCGCCGGAGGCGTCGCCAGAGGCACCCGGCGCGAGGCCCGAGAAATCCGCGCGGACCTCTCGGGTGTGCGCTGACGCCGGCTTCTGTCGTCGGGCAGAGGAGGATCGGGTCTGACGAGAGGGGGGTCAGTAACAGGAGGTCACCGAAGTAGCGTGCGTGGCTGGTCGTCCCTCCTTGCGCAGGAGGCGCCTGTGTACCGAGGAGAGCGCCTTGTGGCGGGGCCGAAGCCAGCCACCAGCTGCACGTGGCAGTCTTCGTAATCCCCCCTTGCCCACCACCACCCCTTCGTCCGAGCCGACAGGAGGGGGGAGGGAGGGAGGGAGAGAGGAGGGAGGAGCGAGGGTGGAGGGACGAGGGGGCAGAGCGTCCATAGTCCATACTGGCTCTGGACGTCCGCCGAGCGCCCAGAGGCAGGGCAAGCTTCGACAGGAGGCACTCCCCAAAGGGCCGCCGGCCAGCCCAAACCAAGCATCGAAACCATCGATCCGGTGACCCAAGTCAACCACCGTTCAAGGTTCACAAATGGCGGGGGGAGGGAGGGACGCAGGGAGAGAGAGAGACAGAGAGAGTGGGGTGGAGGGAGGGAGGGTGGAGGGTGCAGGGAGGCCCGACCCCCGACGTCATGATGTTGTCATGACGGGAGCCCCGAGAGAACTGGACCCCTTGCCGGGGACCGGCTCTTGATTCCCGGGCCGCTGAATGACGGCCCCGAGGCCTGGCGAGGGGGCCCTCGAGGGCCGAGAGCAGCGAACGAGCCTCCTGCCGTGCCGTCCTCACGACGCGAAGGGGGCCCGGAGAGGGAGGGAGGGAGGGCGGAGGGACCTTCTTAGACCTCCCCAGGGCGCCCTGAGATCCGATGCCGCAACAGATATGCACCGCTCACTCAAGCCATGCGTCCAGCAGGGCCATGCACCACCGCGAGAAATCACTACCGGAGTCTGGGCCCCATCTTTCTGCTGTTCAAGCCAGACCGATCTCCTGATGGCACCAGAGACCGTGACGACAAGAGGCAAGATCGCCCGTGGCGACCAGGAGTGCCACGCCCGGAGCTCCGAATCCCAGGACTGATGTTTTGGCACGGTTGAGGATTCGCAGAGGCGGTCCTCCCTCCTTCTTCCTCTTCCACCTGCCGCACACGTTGCGATTTATGCGACCGCCGTCGTGCCGCCGCTCCCGCAAAGCGGTGAGAATAGGCTGGCCCTGTCTTCTTTTCGCCCACACGCTCCGGCGTATGGCACGAGTGGGTGAGTGAGTGTCTTTCAATGGGCCACTTCCCGCAATGAAAATAAGGTTTTTGGGGACCGATAACAAAAACTTGCAACATCGTTGATGCGTTTGGGGTCTACACTGATCCTCCTCCTCCTCCTCCTCCTCCTCCTCCTCCTCCTCCTCCTCGATCCTCCTCCTCCTCCTCATCATCATCCTCCTCCTCGATCCTCCTCCTCGATCCTCGATCCTCGATCCTCGCTCCTCGTCCGACCTCCAGGGGGCGAGGCGCGCCGTCCTCGGGGCGCTCAGGGGCGGGCATGGCGTCCACCTGCCGGCCAAGGGGTCGAGGCGCTCCACGGACGCCAACGCGGCCTGCCCGGCCTCCCCGCCGATCGCGTAGAGGCTCACCTGCGCAGGCAGGAGCGAGAATCGAGGACCGAGGAGGAGGCGCGAGAGGATCGAGGAGGATCGAGGATCGAGGAGGATCGAGGATCGAGGATCGAGAGGATCGCAACAGATCGAGCATCAAGGATCAAGCATCGAGCATCGAGGATCAAGCATCGAGCATCGAGGATCAACGAGGATTGAGACGACCGAGGATCGAAGAGAAAGATCGAGGATCGAGGATCACGGATCGAGGAGGACGACGATCGAGGATCGAAATCGAGGATCGAGGTTTTTGGGAGCTGGGGAGTAGCAAAACGTATCGAGCAGGAGGAGTGGGATCGGAATCGAGGATGGAGGTTTTGCGAGGGTTCGGGCGCAAGAGAGCGCAGGGCCTCAAGTGGCTGGGACGGGTTGGGGGTGTCCTTTCCTCTTCGGGTCCTCCGTCAGCCTCTCTCTCTCCGCTGCCCAGCTGGGATCAAGCTCCCCCTGGGGCCTCAGATCGGCTACACGCTAGGCGCGTCCCTGGGCAAGAATGGCCTCTGGTGCGCAGCTTGCCGACCTCTCCGTGCGATGCGACAGCAGCGGGCTGTGCGCTTGGGCTCGGCCCCACGGCGCCCCCCGAGAGCCGCGACCCGCCCCGCCATGCCCGGCGGGCGCAGCGCCAGCAGCGCGCTCCGCGCCATCGCCACGGCCGTGCGGCGCCCCGTCCACAAGAAGCCGCGCGCTGCGCCACGCTTCACTTCGGACCGTCCAGCTCCGCTACTGCAGGAGGCACCAAAGCCAGAACCCCGACATCGTGATTACTTTATGCCGTGAATGGTTGGTGACGTGGACCCCCAGGGAACTGGACCCCTCCGGGGGGTGGGGGTCGATCAGGCGCCAAACGTCGAAGTAGGAGGACCACAGTAAGTCCTTGGACGTGCTTGGCATCTCTGGAGATGCCTGAGCTGAGGCACGTCATCAGAAATCAATCAACACAGTGGGTGCTCGGGGGAACAGAACGATGGCCAGTCAGGAATCACAGTCATGGCATTCGCGGCTCGATAGCAGCACAGGCAAATAGACAGAAGGCCTCCGCCTGACCCGCACCCTCTTGAACACTCCACCTCCTCCGCCTCCTCCTCCTCGTCATCATAATGTCCTCCCCCCCTCCTCCTCCTCCTCCTCCTCCTCCTCCTTCCTCCTCCTCATCCTCCTCATCCTCCTCCCAACCATCATCAATCTCATCAGCTTCATCATCATCATCATCATCATCATCATCATCATCATCATCAGCAGCAGCAGCAGCATCATCAGCATCATCATCATCAGCAGCAGCATCAGCATCAGCATCAGCATCAGCGTCAGCATCAATCGTCATCAGCATCATCAACATCATCATCATCACCGCCACCATCGTCATCATCATCAGCTGCACCATCATCATAATCATCATCGTCATCATCATCATCATAACCGCCATCGTTATCATCATCATCATCATCATCATCAGCAGCAGCAGCATCGTAATCATCCTCATCATCATGATCATCATCATCAGCAGCAGCTGCATCGTCGTCATCATCGTCGTCATCACCACACATGTCATCATCATAACCTCCACCAACACCATCAGCCTCGACATCATCATAATCATAGCAACCACATCATCATGATCGCCATGCTCACCATCACTGACACCATCAACATCAGCCGCACACTCGTCACCATCATCGTCATCATCAGCATGATCATCATAAACATCCTCATAATCACATCATCATCATCATCATCATCATCATCATCATCATCATCATCATCATCATCATCATCGTCGTCATGGTCGTCATAATCAGCAGCAGCAGATGCAACGTCGTCATCATCGTCGTCATCACCACAAATATCGTCATCATGACCGCCATCAAAACCATCAGCCTCAGCATCATCATCATCATCAGCACCAACAACAACATAATCAATATCATCATCATCATCATCATCATCATCATCATCATCATCATCATCATCTTTATCATCATCATCAACATCAACATCATCCGCATCATCATCCTCATCATCATCACCACCATGCTCACCACCACCACCACCATCAACATCAGCTGCACCCTCACCACAATCATCATCATCATCATCAGCAGCAGCACCATCACCATCACCATGACCATCAACATCACCACCAACATCATCACCGCTAAGCCACAACCAATACTACCAGCAGCATCATCATCATTATCCTCATCGCCATTGTCATCGTCATCGTCATCACTGTCGTCATCACCATCAACATCATCATCACCATCATCATCATAATCACCATCACCATCGTCGATCGTCATCATCATCGTCATCGGAATCGGCATAGTAGTCTTCGTCATCATCGTCATCATCATCAACCCCATCCTCCTTTGCATCCTACTCATCATCATCATCATCAGCATCATAATCATTAACATGATCGGCATCATCATCATCATCATCATCATTATGATCGTCTTCGTGATCATCCTCAGCATCTATCAGCATCATGATGCTCATCAACTGCACCATCATCATCACCATCACGATCACAGCCATCATCATCATCGTCACCATCACCAATGCAATCGTCATCATCACCATCATCATCTGCATCATCATCAGCAGCATCATCAGCATCATAACCACTATTAACACCAGCATGATCATCTTCATCATCTGTATCATCGTCATCGTTGCCCTCATCATCGTCATCATTATCAACATCGTCGTCATCATCCTCGTCAGTCCTCCTGCTCATCCCGCCTCCACCATGTCCTCCTCTTCCTCCTCCTTTAGCCTGGCTTGGACATACACACACGCTGCCGCAAGATGAAACGCAAAAAAAAATCGTGATGCCGACCCAAAGAGGGCTTCCCATTGAGACTCTCTTCGCCTACATAGCGTCATCGTCGAAACCTTTTGCTTTGCGTGTCGCGGCGGCGGCCCTGGCAACACGCTATGCCCTGCGGGCAAATAGCGTGTCGTTCCGCTCCGCCGAGCGAGAGACTGGGAACAACTCGAAACGTTGACGCCTGGAGACTGCGATGTGGATAGCGTGACACGCCGAAGCGTGGTGGGCCAAAAACTAGCGGAGCGACCCGCTAAGCCAAATTTCCTGACCACATGAGACCTTCTTCACCCGCCACCCCGTTGACCGGGAAGAGCGACGTGAGCTCCGGGATGGTTGACGCGACGCTGTGGTGAAGCGACCGCGAGGTCATGTCCAATGCCCCCACGCCGTCCAGACCTGCCCGCGCCGTCGCGCCGTCCTCGCCTCGTCCTCCGCTACCGTCGCGCCACCAGTGAATCGGCTGCCGATTCGAGTCGGGGGACAGCGGCATGCCATTCTACCTTTCACTCCAACTGCCTCCCACCTGACTGCTCATCGTCTTGCTGCGTCTGTTTCACCTCCATGTCCTGCCTCTCGTCCTCCTCCACCTCCTCCTTCTCCTCCTCTACCTAATCATCATCATCATCATCATCATCATCATCATCATCACCATCATCATCATCATCATCATCGTCATCATCATAATCATCATCATCGTCATCATTATTTTCATCACCATCACCACTATTGTCATCCTCATCGCCGTCATCGTCCTCGTCGTCGTCGTCATCATCATTAGCATCATCAGCATCATCAGCAGCATCATCAGCAGCAGCATGATCATCATCATCATCATTAGCATCATCAGCAGCCTCACCATCATCAGCAGCATCATGACCATCAACAATCAGCACCAACCATCAACCATCAGTCGCCACCATCGTCATCATCATCATCATCATCATCACCACCATCATAAGCATCATCAACAGAATCACCATCAAACCATCATTTTGAACACCGATCTGCTTCCCTGCTGCTATCAGTGTGGGCGCACCCCCTTTTGCACCAGCCAGCGCGCCAGCACAGGCTCCACGATCTCGGGCGCGGGCCGCCCGAGAAGCAAAGAAACCTGGGGCCCCAGGCTTGGGCCCACAGTGGTTGCGGGAGCACGGGAGAGGGGCAGAGGGAGAGCAAAGAGGAAAGGGATAGGCGGGTTGAGGCGAGCCTGGAAATCTTCACACGCCCTCAAAAGGAGACGCCGAAAACCGCCTGGCACCTCAAACTGCGATGTCCCGCATCTCATTAGCTCTCACGAGTTTGTCCTGCTGCCTCTTCTCCGTCTTCCTCGAGTCGATGGCGGTCTTGCGGCTGGCACGTTGCATACTCTTCTTCATCTTGATCGCCGCTGCCGCCGGGTCCTGCACCAGACTCCACTTGGCCTCCCGCAGTACCTTGTAGAGGTAGACCTTGTCTACTCCCAGCTTCGTCAGCACATCTGCTATGTTCTGCGAGCCGTCAATCCACCTGAGGTGGGTGTTCTCGCAGCGTAGTACCTCTCTGAGCAAGGCACCCTCGATAGCCATCCTCTTGTCCTTGCTCTTGGCCGAGCCCTCCTTCGCGAGGTGGTCGTAGACGGACTTGGCGTCCGTTGCCCAAAAGCGAGGAAGCCGCTGCACCTCCCCCTGCCAGTTGAGCAAGTCCACTGAGACATTCATAGCCTCTCTGAACAGCACTGCCGCCCAGTCGACGGCCTCCACCGCATCGGCCAGGTGACTGGCCTCCGCCGCCAAGGTTGAGCGGCACACACGCTGTGTCATGCCACTCTTCCAGTCCAGCACTGCCACTGGTGCTTGGTGTCCGGCCAGGATGCCGTCGGTCGTGAGGAGCACCACGTGGCCTCCACAGCTCTTGTAGCGCTCGATGTCGTCGTGCTCTGGGCCGTTCGCGTGGCCTGCGTCCACGGCCGCGCCGATCACGGCGCTGGACAGCCTCAGGTTGGCCGGGTAGACCAACGCGACCTCGGCACCCTTCTTGGCCTCAGACACCGCCAGGTTCGCCTTCACCAGGTCCGCCACGCACGGGGCCGCTCGGGCCCTCTGCAGCTCGCCTGAGAGGAAGGCCAGGTCGAGTCGGCACTGTCGACCTAGCCAGCCGATCTCACCAGATACCCTCAGCAGCTCCTTCGCCTCGTTCTCGTTCAGGTCCTCCTGCAACTGCTTCCTTCGTCCTGCTGGGATCTTGATCGGCTTGATGGAAGTTGCGTAGTTCACCATCTTGACCAGAAAACCTCTCGGATCACTTGAAATCTCACGGCCACGGAAGGTGAAGGGCAGCTCGCTCCACTTCCACTGGAACGTACCCAGGACCTTCGGCAAGAGGTCCGGCAGCTGCATGTCCTTCATCCTCGCCACCAGCACGTCGTCGACGTGCGAGACCGCGATGCCCTTCAGCTGCCCGTCCATGCGCCTGTAGAAGAGCGCCGGCTCTAGGCGCGACTGAAGCCAGCCGTCGGACAGCAAAGCGTCACGCAGCGCTAGCAAGAAGAGCCTTGCTGCCTCAGCAAAGCCGTAGATGGCCTTGCGGGCCCTCAGCAACTGGCCCGCGGCAAGGCCAGGCAGACCTCCTCGAGGCTGCTCCAGGTAGACTTCGCGCTGCAGGTTCTGCCCGTTGAAGTAGGCGTTCTTGACGTCGCCCAGGGAGAGGGTCATGCCCATGGCCGCCGCCAACGTCAGGAGCAGCGCCTCCGCCAGCCGTGAGGCAGTGGGAGCGTCTCGCCTGAACATACCCAGCAAGCGGTCGCGAAAGCCCACCACGACCAGGCGGCTCTTCGCGAGCAGCGGCAGAGGGGCTCCGGCCTCATCATACTTCCCGTCGTTCTTGTCGGTATCCACCCAGCGCATCGGGATGATGATGCTGGCCTTGTCCGCGCGGATCGAGTCACTCTCATCCGGCGGGATCGGCTCAGCTGCATCAAAGTCCTGCCAGGATCGCCACTCTGCATCACGACTGCCACCTCGATCCATGAACATCCGGCGTTGCTCCTCAGGCAAGCTGCCGAGCTTGATCTCCTTCCTACCAGGCTTCTTCGTCAGAAAAGCGTGCTCGAAATCATTCCGCATCAGACCGAAGATGAACTCCTCCTTGCCAATGCCCTCCTGGACAAAGAAGGCCTCATCCTGCTGGTAAGTCTCGAAGCCGGCCTCCATGAACTCCTCCAGGTCATTGTCCAGCACGAACTTCGCCGAGTCGACAGGCGCAGAGAGGCTGGATCCGGCAGTCCCCTGTCGGATCGAGACAGGGACGTCGTCCAGCAGGCGCCGTCGCTTGGCCTCCCGCTCGCGGCGCTCCTCAGTCTCCTCTTCCTCCAGGAGATTCCCAGGACGCCGATGCCGAGAGGCCTCCGGCTCGGGCTCCGTCTGCACCCCGTGAGAGTCAGGGTGCCAGTCATCGTCGCCGTCATCTCTCATGATGTCCTGCATCGCTGCGTCGAACTCCATCGCGTCGAAGTCCAGGTCGGGCGGCACGGGCACGTCCTCAGCCCCCACCGCTGGGGCTGGCGCCGCGGGCGGCTCGGGCGCGGCGGGAGCCGCGCGAGGAGCCTCCGCCGCAGGCGGGGCCTGAGGCGCCTCCGGCTCAGGCGGAGCCGGGGCGGGCTGCGGCTCCTCCGGCGCCCCTGCCTGCGGCCCGACGTCCATGCCGCTCTCGTCGCCCTGCTCAGCGGGCTCCTGCCCCGCTGCGGCGGGGGGCCTGGGTCGACCTCGCAAGTCCACGAAGCCGCTGCCGCCACTGACGGGCGCGTCGTGCACCAACTCCTGCTCCTGTGCAATCGATCTCCAGGCGTGGATCTCGTGGCCGGTCGCTGCAGCCAGGTGCTCTGGGCTCGCGAGCACGGTGAGGCCACGGAAAGCGAGCCACACTCCATGCCGTCCCTCATGTCCGATCACGCGCGCCAGCCCTCGCCAGTTGTCTGGATGCTCGGGTCGATGCTTGACTGGCTGCGCTTGGTCGTAGAAAAGTACCCACTGGCCAACAACGAACGGCCCTCTCGTAGGTCGTATCTGTCGAAGCTCTGCTCGTCGAAGTCGATCCTCCGCGTCGGTCTGGATGAAAGCCATCCTGCACTGAGTCCTGATCTCCACCTTGCGGGCAAAGCGTGAGCCCGGCGTAGCAGCTGCCACCTGCTCGCCCACACACTCCACCTCGGCGTCATCTGCGAGGCTCGCCGGGAGTCGGACATCCCGGCCAAGGACCCAGAGGTAGGGGCTGAAACCAGCCCGCCGGGCCAGAGTGTTCTTGGCCCTGTTGCACTCCGTCACTGCCGTGCTCATCTCCTCAAGGCCCACCACCTGCTTGTTGTGCACCACCCTCGTGAGCATCGAGTTCCAGATGCCGTCGTGGCGCTCCATCTTGCCGATGTGCCACGGCGAGGCCAGCGCGGCCGAGTCCAGGCGCACGCCCTCCTGCTCCAGGTAGTCCGCGAACTCGCCCAGGAAGGACCGCGCGCGGTCCACCATGATCGCCTCCTCCGGCTGGCCAGCCCAGGAGACCCAGCAGAGCTCGTAGAACTTCCTGACCTCCGCGGCCTTGGGGTTCTTGTGAGTGTCCTCCAGCAGGCAAACCACGTGAAAGTTTGTCCCCATACACATGATGCCAAGGAACTCCCAGTTGTTGCCGGCGCTGTCGACATTCTCGAAGCAGTCCATCGCGAGCAGCACGTTAAACTCGTCGACCCTCGGAAGCTGGGTCGGACGTGGGATGCTGGGTCGCTGCACTCGCCGGCAGCTCTCGCAAACAAACAACCTTGCTGCCCTCAGCGCCACCGCCGTCGCCTTGCCCAGGCGCAGCGCCCTGAGCAGCGCCGGCCGTGAGGGGTGCCCGAGGTTCACGTGCACCCGCTCGATCGCCCTCTTGACGGCCCTCGGCAACAGCTCCCAACGTCGCTTCCTTTCCCGTGAGGCGTCCCGCTGCTGTGCTGCAGCCGGCCCCTCGGGCAGGTCGCCCCGCTCGTAGCCCGCGAAGTAGAAGACCACCACGTCGTTCTCGAGTAAGTGTCGTGGCAACCAGCGCCGTCGTGCTTGCAGTGACTGTTGCAACCAGTCCTCGAAGTCCAGCCTGAAGAGCTGGTCGCCCTTGAGCGTCGTGACCATCCTGAGCGGGGCGTCCGCGGCGTGCAGCTGTGGCTGCGCCGTCTGGAGCCGCTGACCCCCGCGTCTAGCCTTCACCATCTTCAGCGGCTCGCTGATGACTCCTCCCAGCTCCTCCAGGAAGAGGTCCGAGCCCCAGATGATCGTCTCGATATCCTCGCCCATCTTCTCCAGTAGTCGCCCATGCCAACTCCGGAACGTGTCCAGCTCGGCGCACAGCTCTACCGTCAGCAGCTCGAACTCGCCGTACTGTGTACGTCGTCCCCGGCG